CTTGCTTGATGTCCCAGTTTGTCCAATCTCAGCATTCTATATAACCTGGTCATGTTAATACCTGCTCTACCAATAACTAAAATAGGAGCAAAAGTGCAGCATGCCATTTGTTTGCATTTATTTATGTCAGTGATTCTCAACCAAGATGCCAGGGCATCCTGGGGTGCCAAAGGGTGCCACAAGGTATAAAGAGATAAGTGAGGCATGAGGAGATAAGCAGGTAAACTGAACAGATTAGCACAGACTGAGGCTTGTCCCTGCCTAAATGATCCCTCACCCCAACCCCTCTGCAGGAGGTAAGCACAATAATATATAAATTCGTTTTTGAAACTGGGTGCCACTTAATTCACAAAAGTTATGGAGGGGTGCTTCAAATCCAATGAGGAGTGCCTAAAGTCCAAAAATGTTGAGAGCCACTGATTTATATGCTTCTTTTGCCTGAGGTGGTAACAATCTCAACATTGTTTGGATGCACAGATCAGTATCTTGAGCCTTGTTTGTTAGATGAGGGTCTGAAAGACAACAAAAATCTAATCCCTAATCAACATGTTTCCACATAACAAAAAGCCAAAATAGCCCGACTCTCTTGGAAGGCAATAGGGGCCACTAGCTGGAGTACTTCAGCCTCCCCTTCTTCCTGTAGTGGCATTTCCAGGTTTTGTGATTAATATTTGTGTAAGTTCAAAGATCCTAGAATGTGAGGGTGTTCTATAAATGCATAGTGCTATTAATTACAGCAATAGTGACAATCTCAGCAGAAGGATGGAGAAATAAGTGAATTGTGGAGACTGATTGCTTTGTCTTATTATTTTTAAATAGAGTTCTTCTCCATTGCACTTTCTTCCTTTTTCATGTCCTTGTGACAGGGTATTTAGCAAAATACACAGATGTCATTGCAATCTGACAGGCTGCACCATGAGCACTTGTGCTATGGCTTCAAACTTGTCAACAGTGCATCTTAGTGCCTGCATAATCTCAGCCCCATTCTTTGCGCTAACAGATGCCTTAAGCTACATAGTGAAGTTCTGGAATCTAAAAACCTCTCACCAATTTAACAGATGGGCACTCTTGCTCATTTGTGTTCCACTGTAAGGAAGGTCATTTTAAATCCTGCTCAGGACTGTTTCTAAGAGGTGAAATAGTCATTGGCTATGATGAGATTATTTTAATGCATGGCCCTATAGCTTTTTTACTATTCAGGCTGATGAATTGGTGTAGCAGAAATTCTACAAGGATGGATTTAGGCTCAGGCCCCATAAAGGCATCTGAAACAGCAATACTTATCCCTCTCCCCCTACCTTCAGACAAGAATACCCAACACCTCTGTTTGCATATCCTTCCTGCTCACAGAGAAGAGCTTGAAGGAAAGAAGACATGTGTCACAAAGTGCTAAAGATGTATGATGGAAGCTAGTAAAATCAGGACACAGTGGTCATGTCCAGACAAGCACAGACATTTGGTTCCCCAGGACAAGTAGCAGCGGTGCACCTTGCACCATAGCTACTTGTCCCTGAGGAGCGCCTGGGCCACGTGCACTTTGGCGTGCGGCAAGTTACCCCGGGGGCAGTAGAGGAGGCTGAAGCCAGAACTGGGCTGGCCCCAGCAGCCTTATCTGGGGTCCCAGAGGCTTCCTGGGGCTGGAGCTAGAGCAATCCTGCCGCTTGGAGTGTGGCCAGCAGCTGTGGCATGGCTCTGGGCAGCCCAGCTCCGCTTTTCAGCCGCACACATTGCCCACATTTGTGCTGCTCCAGGTTTTTTTCCCCACAGTTTTCTTTTTAATCCCTGGATTAAAAAAAAAAAAAAATAGAACAGCACACACATGGGCAGTGAGCCCTTGCAGTGCAGAGAACCGCTGACTGTGCAGTATGTGGTGCTGCATGTGTGTTTGCAGATATGTTTGTGCCACAGACCACATGGCTGCACTTGTCTGGACACACCCAATGAGAGCAAAGACCTTGCTGACAAGAATCTTTTTTTCCCATTCCACTCACCTTATCCTGAATAGTTTTAAATTATTGATCATCTTCTAGGAATCTAGGAATCTCTTAGAGCCCTTTGAAGTAATGACCTCTGTACCATGAATTAAGTGGGGACCAAGTGGCACTCATTTCTAGCATGGAGGAAGATAACAATTCAGCAGGTTTTGTGCCTACTTACTGCAGTGCAGGGGCAAAAAGTCAGCTCCATTCAATCACGTGAAGTCCTGCAACACCTCCATTTCAGCAACTGTTTGTTTGGGGAGAAAGGTCCTTTAAACAGGTTAAGTCTGTTGAAGAATTCTCTTTAAAAAAAACATAAAAGCGATAAAAATGCCATGAAAATGAAGCATTTTATGCAGTCATTCTCTACTTCTATTGCCACTTCCCCTCTATCCAGTTTGTAAGCCACCCAAATAAAATCAGGCAAGGCCTTTCCCACAAGTGCAGATCATATTATGCAGATCATAATATGCAATTTTACAACATGTAGTTTTTATTAGCCCTGGAGTTTCTTCTGTCCCTTACACCAGCAAAGTATCAGAAGGTCACTTTCAGAAGTCCTTAGTCCCACTCACTGAGTGGCCTAAGCTACACATCTCCCATGAAGCCCCTTTACATACAAGGCACTCCAGACTTGTCAGAGTTACATCCCAAGTAATCCCTACTCATTTTACCTGTTCCTCTTTGTGTGTGTGTGTGTGTGTGTGTGTGTGTGTGTGTGTGTGTGCGCGTGCGCGCGCACTCCCCCTCAGACCATATAAGTTCATATTGGGCCTCACACGAGTCCAGTTGAGCTATGCTTAACAGTCATGAAGGGACAGTGAGCATAAATGACTTTCTGCCACTTTTATGCCACCCAATATGAAAACTAAGTCCTTGGCTTGTGCAGTCTTCTGCACAAATTAGAGAAACCTCAGCATTGGTCTCATTTTTGCTCAGCCTTTCCAGTGGGCCTCTCCAGTTGGTGGGGGATCACAAGGCTGGGATATGTACTGCCCATGCTGCTCACTTCAGCACTCCATCAGGTGGTGATGCAAAGCCAGCATTTCCAGCTCTTCATCTTCTTGAGATTCTATTAGTTGGGAAGAATCCTTAATTGGTTTGTGAGGTGTCTTTGTGGTGCCAGGGCAGTGACAGAGCAGCACAAAGGCATCATGGCAAGACTCTGGAGGGACGGAGAGCAGAGTTGCTCTGAAGCCAAAATTATATTTATGCATAGAAGCCAAGTAAAGTTCTACTAACAAGTGTATGCATGCAGAGTCTGCAGCTGTGATTTATGAGACTCCTTTGAAAATACATCTGTTTAGTGTTTGTAAATCTGTGATGGGGGGAGGTGAAGGGGGAGAGAAGGCCTCCATCCTCCTTTCCAGCCTTCCTCTACCCACTCCAAGTTCTTAACAAATGACATAGTTTTAATAAGTGTGTTACTGGAAAAAAAAAATTAAACCCCCCATTTTTGGCAAGCCATCTATCCTCAGTGCAGCCTATTGCCCAGAGAACCATGCTGTCCCCAAGGATGTAGTTAGTTAGCAGCAAGGAACTGCCAGGATGGTGCCAGCATTTCTCACACTAGTAACTATTTGTGTGCATGTTTTTTTAAATGCTAAACCTTTATGTGGCTACATTTGTTTTTGTTTTATTCCCTGGGAACTGCAGCAGGTCCAGACACAACCTGCTTAGTGCATTACCGTGCCCTTGGCTCCTCCAAGATATTTATACCTTCTCACAGCTGGCAACTCTTGATGGGGCATTGTTTTTTCTCTTGGTCTTTGGGCCTGTTTGCATGCCTTCTGTTCATGCCTGGGAGCACCACTGGGAAAAGCATACCCTACTCTTGCACACACCAATCTGAGACAGAGAGCTTAAGAGTGGCTCTTGGTACGTGCTCAGGGCAGAACTAAGGTGGTAACTTGACCTTTTTTATGTGATTTGGTACCCAGAGTTTGGGATAAAGTGTGTGGGACACGCTCCATAGCACCACTGCCAGGTGCAGCACAAAGCCAGTGTAGACATTCTCTCATCTCTATAGTTTTGCATATCCTGTTCCCTAGGCTTAGCCTTTCTTCACCTCAGCAGCACCTGTTGATTCAGGCCTGTCGTCTCACCTAGACTTGCGAATGAGGGAATGGAAATAGAGTCAAAAGTCAAGGTTCAATTGAATTATTATCATGGGTCTGACCACAGACAATTAGCATCCATTTGGGCTTAGACCAGCTGTTTATCTTAAGAGCTAAAGGCCTGGTTAATCATTCACGCTGGAATAAATCCACAGTTACTCCAATAAAGCAATGTTGGCATAAAGCGAGTGAAAGACCAATCAAGCCACAGACCAGGATGGCTCTGGAATATATTGTTATTGCACACCTTGTATGTGTCATATGGAAGCAAGTACACATGTACATATGCACACAGACTTATATGCAAATAGGATAGTACATAGACCTGATATATTACAATCATTTCAGCACTGTGTTGGGTACAGAGAAACGCAATGAGCCTTTCTTAGTATTTTTAGATGGAAGAGCTTTCTTCTGGTAAAGATTTTCAACTGAACAAAAAAAAAGCAAGCTGCAGATTCCCAAAGTTTATAAATGCTATATTGTAGCTCAGTATTTTTTTAAACAATTTGCAGTTTCCTCCCTCTGTATTCCTCAGTTTTTCCATCTACAATGTAAGAATAATGATATTAACTTTCTTTGTAAAGTGCTTTGAGATTGACTGATTGTGCTGTCTCAGACCCAAGTTTTAGGGTTGGTTTTTGGTTTTGTTTAGGTTTTTTTTTTCACTAAGCTACAAGTCTGGTCCAACTGTCACTGAAAAAAGGAAAGATTTCCATATACTTTAGTGAGAGGTAGATAGGGCCTTGACAACCAGTCATTGCTGGGAGGCTCAAATATGAAGCCATTACAGCTCAACTCCAGCTTCAAGTGTGAACAATTAAGTATAAGGGAGACAACAGCAATACCCAGACACCCTTGTGGGTTCATAATTAAAATAATGACCAGAAAATAAGAGAATGCCATGTACAACCTAAAATGCCAGTAATGCAAATAACAAATGTAAAGCAGGAGGTTGGAACTTTTTACAAATGACAGGCCACCGCTCACAACCCAGCCGCCACCATAGGCTGCCAATCCCCTACTATTCCCCAGCCAACGCTTTGCAGAGGGTTATTTTGTGACACCCCTTCCCTCCCCCAATACAGCCTCTGCCAAAAATTGTTGAAAGCAACAATTTGGAGCAACTAACTTGGTGGGGGTGGTAAGCAGGAGCTGCAGCAGAGGGCAAGAAAGCAGGGAGGGTTGAGGCAGCAGTAGAAGATTGTTGTGGTGTTAGTAAAACATGAGCTGGTTTGTGGGCTGGATCCAGACTCTTTGTGGCCCACAGGCTGCTAACCCCTCGTCTAGAGAAAAATCACCAAGTAAAAAATTGGGCCAATCAAACTATAAAAACAGCCTTTAAACATCTTGGGTTTAAATGCTTCTTCAACCCAACTGACATTCTCACTAAGTCTTTATCATTTTTTTCATTATTTGTTTAGGATCATCCATGAAGATGGTTTCTCTGGAGAAGACGTGAAGCAGTATAAGCCTGTGGTCTATAGCAACACTATTCAGTCACTGGCAGCTATTGTCCGCGCCATGGATACTTTGGGCATTGAATATGGCGATAAAGAACGAAGGGTAGGTTAATATCCAATAAAAATTGTTGACTTCAAAATGCTGACTTGGAGGAACAAGTAGAGTTTGTGTGTCATGAGAAATGGCATATTTGTACAATCCAACCAAAGCTGAGAGACGATGTTCAAACCCTTTAGCTAGGCAACTGCATAAATAATTTGATCAGTTTTGTACAATTGCCTGTACAAAGGGCTAAACAAATAGATTTACATAGCCATCTATTTCAGCTGTGATAATTGTATCATTGCAGACACAGCTGTGATAATTGTACACATACCTGCATGTCTAACTGGTATGAAATTGTGCTCCTATGCACCTCTATGGGCAGAGAAGTACAAGGCCTAACTGGCAGAGTAACAGGTGTCCAAAATACAGGTGTGACAGTAGACACTAAGTAGATATTACACCAATGAGGATTTGCTTGAGATAAAAATTGCCACAAAATATTCCAGAAAAGAATGTTCTGATAGTGTTCAGTTACACTCCCCATGCCTTGGAAGGGTAGAGAGGAAGTAGAAGTTATCTTACATTCATCTATACAAAAGTTTCTTGTGTTGAATTATCTTTTGTGTTTTCCACGTGGATTCATCCAGTCTGGTGTTGAAATAACTCTACTCCAGAATGGAGTTTTACTAGAAAAGAGGCTTGTACGGATGGATACATGTAGCATCTGTAGCACTTTGAACTAACTCTTAAGCTGATGACAGTCAGCCCAGTGCTATCCTACTACGCATAACTTTACACCTGGATTGGCCTGTGTTTTCTTGCACGGTTTTCTTTTGCTTCTCCATTTTTCCCAGATGTCATTAATGCCTTTAAATCAGTCAAATATGCCCCTTTGTAACTCAGCTCATGATACATTCACCCAGAGCCACATACCTTGAAGTCATGGCCTGTGCTTCTGCATGGTCCCAAGTAACCTTTGCTTCACTGGAAAAAATCTCTCTTTAAAAGCGACTAACCCCTTTTCTCTCTTGTCCTTGCATATATTGTTTATTAAGTGACCACAGCATGTACATAAAAGCTTCTCATTTAGTAACTTGTAAGGAATTGAACTAAAAAAAAGGAAAGAATTAGTTTTCCAACCCAAATCAGGAGCTGAGCTGTTACCATGGATACTTTGTTCACAAAAAGAAGGTCTTAAGTTTCTGTTTTTTCCATAGGGTGTCTGTATGTTTTATACTATAATTTACAGTATAGAAGATATATGCTAATAGAAACCTTGTGAACTAATATTGATGGCTTTGAAATAAATATGTTAATCTGATGATTACCCAGTGACTCAGCTCCAAATAATGCACGTATCTTGTCTTTCCTAAAAGTCTATATGCAGGGGAGAAAAAATCATTCTGTCTGATAAATAGCTTATGACAGATGGTTTTAAATGTAAAATTGATTTTTTAATGCAAAAGTCCTAATTCTGTAAGGTAAACTCATCAACATTTAGGTACTGACTTTACCAACTAATGTAGGTTCTCAGTAATCAGGACTATGACTAATGAAAAACTGCTGCCAGAAACCGTTTGGATAGTATTAAAAGTTATGTCAGTTCCCATTCCTATGGATAAGGTGTCAAATGTACCACTGGAGGATTCCTACTGCACTGAGGGGACTTCACTTTGGTATGTTAGTAGTTTCATAGTTGGTAGGGTCGGAAGGGACCTGAGGAGATCATCTAGTCCGACCCCCTGCTTTCTCCACCTAGGTTTTTGAATCATGCAAACGCAGTTGTCCCAGCCTCCTGCAGAGGGTTTGGGATTGAGAGTATGGTCGGGGGTAGAAAGGTAAGAAAGATTTATTGACTTAACAAAAACACAACTACGCGTAGTAACAAGACAAACAAAAGCAATTCATGTCAGCAACTTATCGGCAGTCCCCTCTGATGCCTGATACACAGCAAGCTTCTCTTTCCATGAAGTTCAGTGAAGTCAGGCATCCCTGAACAGCACTGTCCAAAGGGGTACTGGGAAGGACCCTGGAATGCAGTCCTTGGGCTCCTCGAGGTCCACGGGCCCACTGATCCAGGCAACAGCTAACTAATCCTTTTCACAGAACTGTATCTTCCTTCTGAATGGTTTTCAGATATTTCAGCCAATTTAAAGCTTCTGAGTGGTTCTGATAACGTACAACCACTCAGATTCCTTTTACTTCAACTGTCCTTAGACTGACCAATTAGCAGTACAAGCCTTGCATTCCTTTTATAAGGTAATTTTAACTACGCCACAAGGCCTTACTACTTCAAGACTTTGCTAAATTTACTAGGCCTTACTTTATACAAGGCCTCACTACATCTTAATCTTTAATTAGGCTTTTAGCAACAACATATAGCTTAATATCTAAACAAATATAGAAAAACACTTCATCTAATCTTCATAGGGCCTTCAGCAAGCACCTGTATCACACAGACATAATTTCAGCTGTCACACCCTCCGCTAGTTTGTGTCCTTTGTTTCTTGTAACTCCCGGGAGTGCTCGGGGGAACACGGACTCTCTCAATGCCTGCTGGTCCCCCTTGACTAGTTTGTAGACTGCCACTAGATCCCCTGTCAGCCTTCTCTTTTGGAGACTGAACAGGTTCAGGTCCCTCAGCCTCTCCTTGTAGGGCCTGCCCTGCTGACCCCTGATCATGTGGGTGGCCCTCCTTTGGACCCTCTCCATATTGGCCACATCCCTCCTGAAGTGCGGCGCCCAGAACTGGATGCAGTACTCCAGCTGTGGCCTGACCAGTGTCGCATAGAGGGGGAGGATCACCATTTCCATTGGTCTCCATATTTAGTCTCCATTTCCCTCCTCTCCTAGGAAGCCAAATACAAGGACCAGCTCCTAATCTCAGGGGCGGAAGCACTTGTGCTGTAGTTAAAAAAAACCTTGTCACTTGCCTTCAGCGTACTCAAGGACCAGCCTCAGCTCCCTGTACCTCAGGAAAACAGTGTCATGGTAACAGGAAACAATGGTTTACTTGATTATTACTAAGGATATGACTACATGAACAAGGTACCATACAGCTCACCAGCTACTCCACAGTAACTGCCTATGTGCACACATTTACTCTGCTGAAAATGCCAGGTAGTTTATCCTGCTTCCACTGAGAGATCAGTTACTATGGAGATGATGATAGACTGCAAGTTCACATCCTAGTTTACCTCCTGGTAACTTGCTCAGTTGTGGCCATGCCCTAATTCGTCTCCTATTGCCAAGTCTGGGACAGATTTTCAAAAAATTGTATAGATGTAGTTTCATGCATGGATGCTTTTGAGCACAATTTGAATGTGATGTGTACAGAAATGTAGAGGCTGCTTTAACATCTCAGGCCAGAGCTAATTTGCCCTATAGTTATATGCCCTTCTCTTCATGGTCAAATAGTGGTAGTCCTTACTCTGCTGAAACTCCCCCTGATTTCAGTTTACTTCTAATGTTCAGGTCCTTGAAAAGTGGGGCTTGGTCTATCTATCCACTTCCCACTGATTTTGTTGGGGTGAGGCTAGGTCTTCAATGCTCAAAAGCAGTGGTTTTCTATGAAGCATGGTCTGTCATTATTTATATCAGCTCTTGGATATAGCTCAGAAGAAAACTCTTTCTGAAATAAATGTATTCCTATTAGAAACTAATGCTCAGTCACACTATGTAGTATTTAGGTCTGCAGCACTAAGTATGTGGTGAGATTTTGGACCATGATATTTATCTCAACTGTTCCCCTCTTACTAGATTCAGGTGAATCTAAATCAAACTTCTTGTCCCATTGTTATTTTCCCAATAATCATGATAAGAAACCCACAAGAATCAAATCTAAATTGAATTCAAGTCACACATTTGGTTAAAATATAGTGTTGCCTAGTCAAATGGAAGATTTTTAAGGACAGGTTTTCTGGATTCATTATTTAATGTAGAGCAGGAAAAGGGGCAGAATTATTTAATGTGGAGAATCTACTAACCTCCTCTAGAGCATCAGATATTTTCAATTCCTTCTCTGGTATTTTGTGGCCTTAGAAGGCACTCCATGAATCATTCTACACTAACTGCAGGAAAGAAGTTTCAAGTTTATGTTGAAGTCTGTTACACAGAGATAAGCTACCTGCTGGTGAATGGGTAACTGCCAGCGGCTTTTAGCTTAGTGGAGTCTGGTGGCTTTAACATCAAATAATGAGGTTGATTCAATTTGGACTTCTGTGTTTTACCCTAGAGTGACTCAGTTGATTGTAGTGTAGGTACTGCTAATTGACTCTGGTATAAGCAGAGTGACCTAGACAAATTGGAGCACTGGGCCAAAAGAAATCTCATGCGCTTCAACAAGGACAAGTGCAAAGTCCTGTACTTAGGACAGAAGAATCCCATGCACTGCTACAGCCTGGAGACTGACTGGCTAAGCAGCAGCTCTGCAGAAAAGGATCTGGGGGTTACACTGGACAGTAAGATGGATGTGAGTCAACAGTGTGCCCTTGTTGCCAAGAAGGCTAACAGCATACTGGGCTGCATTAGTAAGAGTGTTGCCAGCAGATCAGGGGAAGTAATTATTCCACTCTATTCGGCGCTGGTGAGGCCACTTCTGGAGTACTGTGTACAGAAAGGATATGGACAGGTTGGAGAGAGTCCAGTGGAGGGCAATGAAAATGGTTAAGAGCCCAGAGCACATGATTTCTGAAGAGAAGCTGAGGGAACTGGGTTTATTTAGTCTACAGAAGAGAAGACTGAGGGAGGATTTGATAGCAGCCTTCAACTACCTGCAGGTTGGTTCCAAAAGATGAAGCTGGACTGTTCTCAGTGGTGACAGATGACAGAATAAGGAGCAATAGTCTCAAGTTGCAGCAAGGGAGGTTTAGGTTGAATATTAGGAAAAACTCTCTCAATAGGAGGATAGCGGAGCCCTGGAACAGGTTACCTAAAGAGGTGATGGAATCTCCATCCTTGGAGGCCCAGCTTAACAAAGCTCTGGCTGGAATGATCTAGTTGGGGATGGTTCTTCTTTGAGCAGGGGGTCGGACTAGATGACCTCCTGAGGTCCCTTC